GAATTCCTAAAACTGCTGCGACAATCCAGAAGGCACCGAGTTGGAGGAGGCTAGCACATACAATTCTAATTCACGTCACCACAAAGAACAGCCTAAGAAACATAGGAGAGAGGAATTTCGAACAATTTCTTTATCTCAGCAGACAATTTTTCAGCATGATCCTGGAGATCTTAACCTTCATTCAGTCATTATTCTCAAAAATAATCCTCGTTTTTGTAAAGGTGAAAGGGAAGAACCAATGGGTAAAAAGGCCTTACAAAAAAAAAAAACCCCCCCCCCCCCCTGGTTTACAAGCAAGGCTAACAAGGCAGAAATAAAGAAGAAGGGGCAACAGCCATGATCCCAAAGAGGTTATTAAGAGATGCTGGCCATACGTACTGTTCCATTCTGCACTTTCTTGGCATCTGGCTTCTTCCGAACTGTGGTAAAACTCCACTCAGGGTGAGAATTGTTCTCCTTGTTGCTAGACTCGCTAAGGGACAAGAGGGGAGAAATGGCAAAAAAAGAAAAGAAAAAAGATTAGAGAACTAGGCTAGGTGGGTTGGTTAACCTTTTACAAGAGCGCATCGGCCCTCCTGATCCAGACCCCGTGGGGCTAAAGCAGACATGGGTACCTAGGAGATGCCCCTGGGCCCTTCTGCACTCGCAGCCCCCTCCCCGCCATCCATCCGCACGAATCCAGACTCACGAATCTGAGCCGTCCGAGTCCGTTTCGTCACTGCTGTGTCCTTCAGCTTTCCACCTTTTAAACCTGTCGATCAGCTCCGTCAGGTAAGAGGTCTTCTTGGCGTTTTTCAGGATGAATTTGTGCTTTAGCAGCTCCTTGGCCGTGGGACGCTGGAAAAGGTACGAAGCGCCAGTTAATTCTCAAGCAGAATTCCAAAGCGCTGGGGATGACGGGGGCAGGATGTCGAAAGGACGGTCTTCTCCCGCTACGATCTGCTTATCAAGCTCTCATCTGCGTCCCCAACAACCACGGAAGGAAAGCCCGGGGGTGGGAAAAGGCCTTCTCCTGGAGAACAGCTCTCCAAAACCCATCCAAGACATATCATCCTGGGAAGCCTTCTAATGATTCATCTCCCTTGCTTTTACTGCTGCTGTTCTATTATTATTTTGTTTTTAATTCTGCAAAATAAACTGGCCTCAGCATCCCAATAACATGAAAAATAAACAGTTTATGCTGGCCACCATTCTGGAAGCTCAAATCACATCAGTTAAATCTTGGAACATTCTGAGACCTAAACAAGTGTACTGCTTGCACACTAGAGAGCAATGACCCCATCTTTTTCTGCCTGAACATTAACTTCCCCAAAAGCAACGAGTAAGACTAAACTCTTTAATGTTCTTTCGCTGGCATCCGCTGGGTCAACAGATGTTCTCTTGTGATCTGCAACAGCTGTCCACCTATATTAGGTTCTGAGTAGGAAGCGAGCTTAAATACAAATCCAACAATAGTCACCGCAAAACTTTTATTATATATTTCATCTAGAATCTGACTCAAAATTAAGCTTCAATCACCTCTGATTCGTTCTTTAGCATGCTCCAAGCATCCTGTGTGGTTTGAACCATCCTAGGCCAAGCCACACAACATCAAAATGCCTGAACTTATCCTGCTGCATTTGGGGCATGGAGAAGACCACCACATCCTTCAAAATCCCGCAAACACGATGAACAGCTCATGCCACATTCCACCCTCTTAGAAGGCACCCCCAAGATGAACCTCCCTCCAAAGCCAAGTGCCTGCAGTAGCTGGAAGCACACTCACAAACGTCGGGTCCTTGTTCAGACAGGCGTCAATAAACTCTTTGAAGGGCTTGCTGAAGTCTCCTGTGAGGGTGGGGGGGTTATTTTTGGGAATAAGAAAGAGGACTCGCATCGGATGCATGTCTGAGTTGGGAGGCTCCCCTTTGGCCAGTTCGATAGCAGTGATTCCAAGGGACCAGATATCCGCCTGCAGGAAAGGACAGAGAACCCAGCCAGCTATTTTGAACAAGGTCAAGGATTCCCACCTCACAAGCTGCAGGTTTTAAACTGAACTGAAAGGATGTGCCACGCAGGCCTGTGTGTGCTGTGGGACAATTCACGGCGAAATGCTCTTTCGAGTATCAGGTGCATCTTTAAACTCTGCTATGTACACACACCTTTCAGTTTTATCCCCTTGGCAGTCAGGCTTATGATCAACTGTGGAAGTGTTTGCTCTGGGGAAGAACAGACCAAGCTGATGGGTGTGATTAGGCTACGCGAAACAGAGATCAACAGGAACCCTGGAAAATGCACTATTGCAACTCTACTGTGAAGGAGGAGGAACGCCTGTCTCACTACCCAGCGAGAACTGCTCTGTGTTTAAGCCAGCAGAACATCCTCCTGATTATATATTGGATTGGGTTTTCTGGAGAAGAGCCACGAGTTCTTTATTTAAAAGCTTCAAGGCATGGATAGCAAAAAAACGTTAAGCCTCACTGAATCAGGAGATGGGACAGGCACCAAGGCTTCCTCGGCACTTGATAGAGTCACCCTGTTATTTGGCACACAGCTCCAATCCTGTCGACAGTCACTAGGGCTAGCAACCTCCTCTTAAGTCTTCAGAGACACAACAAGTATCGCTACAAAGTGAGTTAAGATTCTGCCCCTGGAGCCCCATGGCAGGATTACGGCTATAGACATCTTCCAACGTTCTTAGATAAAACGAACAACCCCTTCTGGGCCTAAGGGTCTTACTTTTGAGTCATAGGCTGACTGCTGGATGACTTCAGGGGCCATCCAGAATGGTGTGCCTACAAAAGTATTCCTCTTAATTTGAGTATCCGTCAGTTGCCCGGCAACTCCAAAATCTGCAAGCTTTACATCTCCTTGCTCAGACAACAACACGTTGGCAGCTGGTTGGGAAGAAAAAATAAGAAAACTTAATTAAACAACAGAAGAAACTTGCGTCTGAAGAAGTCTTCTTCCCTCACTATTTATACACACCTTTTATATCTCTGTGGATTTTCTTTTCTGAATGCAGATAGTCGAGACCTTTCAAGATCTCCTTTAGCATCGTAGCAATCTGGAACTCATCAAACGGGCCAGCACGGAGCTCAAGAGGGAATAATCACATTTTGTAAGCTTTAATGAAACCCTAAGCCCTGGCCTTAAAATGCATTCATACTGATTCTGACACTTTTTTTTTTAAACCTGTTTTGTTTTTTTAACTTTTGTTTTTTTAAAAAAAGATCTTAGGGCAATGAAAAGATTCCAAATAGGTGTTCCATTTCAGCAGAAAAATGCTGGATAACTATCTAGAAAGAAGGCTAGGCAATTATCGAAAATGGATCTGAGCATTGTGAACGTGCTTTTTTTCCCCCAAGTCTTCCTCTCACTTCATTACCAAGAAAATATCTGAACTTGTCAAGATCAGGGGAAGTGCCTATGTGTGGACAATTCAATGTACTACCCGCGTGCAATGTTTCTCACTAGCACAAAATACAGTCTTTTATCAAACCTCAAGGTGAGAATCTGTCACCCTCAAGCCACTCCTGCCTCCGTGGGCACTTCTCTTGGCAACAAACCCCATCAGAAGCGCCAGAGACAGAACAGAGGCTACGACAGAAATATTCTCGTTGTTCAGGGGGTTATTCTATGATGCCTGCCAGGTCCTGCCCGTTGAAGAAGTGATTCCCTGGTGGAGCAGGCAGAGTCTCTTCTGCTGTCTTGACATCAGTTCCTCTAGCCTAAGGAAGAGGCTCTCTGCTTTCCTGGACATCAGCTGAGAGCCACAAAAGGCAGAAGCTCGGGGCTGAACTGGGCTGCAGGCTGGAAGACCTGCACTGTCCGAGCTAAGCTACGCATAAGCAGATGCTGAAATTCTAAATGAGACAAAAGCAGGGTTCAAGCCATGCTAATAATATTTCAGGATCTCCTAAATGTAAATACTGTAGCAGTATTATCTTAGAGGAAAAGGGTGGGTCTCCCATAGAGGCCTGTGGTGAGGCTGGACTGGGGGGATAAGGGAACACTCTGCTTTTTTAGCCCCTCCTAAGCTGCAGCCATCATGAACGCCGTGTTTGTCATAAGCAATAAGCCCTTTCATGGTTCAAATTTACAGAAACCCAAAATGGAAAAGCCAGCTCAGTTTTAGCACTAAATATTAACTGTGCTTTCTTCTACAACATACTCTCCAGATCTCCTTCCAACAGAAACATCTGTGTGTGTTGAAAGCTGATTAAAAAAAAAAAAGTCCACCTTTTAGTTTATTAACTGCACTGGGTTGTTTTTCATAACAGCAAGGTTTCCTCTTCCTAAAAAGCCAAGTAACATATACTCTTTATTCTAATATCCCTTTATTTATAGGCCGAGCCTGAGGAACTGCAATCCTGTTTCTCTACAGTGAGACATAAAGGGACACACTGAAGCCACTGTGTCAACGGGAGGGTCCTGCAGAAAAGTCTGCGCTAATGGAAAACATGTTTGACTTGGACTAAGGAATTCCAGTCCCTGCCCAAGGACTGAGTCACCCGGGAACCTCAGTCAAAATTCACACCCTCTTGAGCCTCAGTTGCAAACAGATGCGACACTTCTTTGCTTCTTGCAAGCCGCGTACACTTATTACTGATGGATCTTTCTGATGTACTACAAATGTTAAACGATCTCTCCCTAAGGGTATCATAATCTGAAAAAAGTGACATAAAACTGTGGACAGTGATATGTTACTCTACCATTAATACAGCATCAAAAACATCAGGTGTTTCCAGAATCCGAACTTTGGAACGACATGCAAATGATCAGACGCACCTTTTAGTGCAACACACGCTTGGCAGGGACCTGCTTTACTCAGGCACTGATTATCTTTAGAGGACCTGAAATCGAAAGCATCTTTACTGAAAGGCTACAGAGAGTGCCTAGGCTGACTAGCAACTCGGGAATTATGAAATGGCACCGTCAATAAAAACGGAAAATCAACAAACTCATAAAGTAACTGGGATACTTACCAAATCCAGGGCCGATCCCCCACCTAAATATTCCATTATTATCCATAACTTTGTGCCCTAAAAGAGAATGCAGGTGAAGAATTAGCTTTTTCCTCCTGATTTCTCTGGATTTTACCATGAAGTCTGCAGACAAGCAAAACTCATATCTTATTTTTATTTATTTATTTATTAAATTTGTATGCCGCCCATCTCCCCCAATTGCGGTGGGGGGGACCAGGGAAAGTGGAAAAGGGGGTAGGAGCAGTGTGGAATTTGGGGACTTATAGTCCTAACTCATCTGGAACTAGCACTAAGTTGGTGAAGGATGGAACAAAAGATCCACCATGACCACAGAAAGAACAAACTGTGGAGTCCTTGGTGCTCTCTGAGCTCAGGGGTTGGCTTGCAGACGCTTCATTACCCAACTAGGTAACATCTTCAGCGCAAGGGAGGGTGGGGTTTGCTCCCTGTTTATATGCAGTAGCTTGCCCTGCCAGTGTGGGTGGGGTGCGCTTTTCTCCTTGGTAGTTCCTTGATTAGGGTAGGTAGTCCCTAATCAAGGAACTACCTTGATTAGTCTCCAGTCAGGGGTACTTGAATAGTCCCTAATCAAGGAACTACCAAGGAGAAAACCACACCCCACCCACACTGGCAGGGCAAGCTACTGCATATAAACAGGGAGCAAACCCCACCCTCCCTCCACCGATGATGTTACCTAGTCGGGTAATGAAACGTCTGCAAGCCAACCACCGAGCTCAGAGGAGCACCAAGGACACCACAGTTCAACCCTGAGCTACAGATATTCTCTTCTACTGAAAGAACAAACTGTTCCTCCATGAAGACACTTCTTCCATGTCATACACACAAACGCTTGTCAGCTAAAGGCCAGGGTCACAAATTCAGACTGCTAGGACACACACGTGCTGTAAGTTTAAGGGATGGTGGAATGCGTGCCTGTGGCAACATGACCTAAAGATGAGCAGTGGCGGATGCCACAGCTCTCTTTCCCAAAGGTACAGACCGCCATAACCACAAAAGCATAATCAACAATTCACTTATTGGGCTACGGAACTCCCCCCCCCAATTCATTTCCTATATAAACTCCAATGCATCCCATTATATGACCTGTGCCAGGATCAAACTGTCATAATGCCATTCATCATACTTCCTAAATAAGAAACCTATGATTTCCAAGCAGGTTAAACCAGTCCTGTTTTCAATGCATAAAAAAGAAATTAATTCCACTGGAATCTGAGTAAGTGAATTACTGGTTTTTAACACGCATTCTAGTAAAATTTTCTGACATCAGGATGTTAATTTGCTTCATAGCGTTGACTAACTATTCTCAGTTTGTGATAGCTTCATGAAATGCAATTTCCTAAAGCATTGTTCAACACTCTGGGAAAGCAAACAAGCCTTTTTTGAAAACAATTTTAAAGAATAGCTGAAAAAAGTTAAATTTGAAAAGGCTATAACCCACAGTTCAGGCAGCAAGTAAAAGAAATACAGTGGTACCTCTAGTTACGAGCACCCCTCCTTACGAATTTTTCAAGATACGACCAGCTCCGGCCCCAAAAATTTACCT